CGGACAGACGGATAAAGGACTACTCAAAAGATTATACATACATATGGACATACCTCTTCAACTTGACTGAGGGAGGAGCGACTGCCCCAGTCTTCCCAAGTGTCCCTCTCGCCTGCAACAAACATTGTCGATATAATACAACGTAGCAAGCACCACGTATTAGGAACACAAACAATTTAATGATATAGGTACCTACTAGCTGTATATACGTACTAGCTGCGCCGTACGGTCGTTGTTGTACCTTACTCATCCCACGCGAACCCCACAACCTGTGTGCTATTCCAGTCTATAATCTATCTCTGTGTCAAATTTCATCGAGATCCCTTCAGCCGTTTTTGCGTAAAAGAGTAACAAACATCCATACAAACTTTCGCCTTTATGTTAATTACGAGGGCTGCCGGAACTGGCCAGTTACAGAACAATATTAAAAAAGTTATTATAACATTTAAGAATGGAACTCTTTAGCTGAATAATACAATTTGTTTCATGTAGCTGTGATTTGTTTATCTTTTGTTTTCATTCATACATCATCATTTTTAAAATTACTTATCTTTATCACTATGGATTTAACTCGTGAAAATTTTTGCTATGATTTATTACGATTTTCGGCAACTAAATCATAAACAGTGCATCTCATGCATGAGTTGGTGTGAAATAACCTCACACTAGGGGTGTGTACATTCTGAATAGGAACACCATTGATGTGGTGCGTAACGGTGAATGGCAAGAAGAAATTACAATACTTTCTTAAATTGAGTGAGTACAACATACATGAAACGAACACCCAGTCTCTCACCCAGAGTCCCATGTCGGGATCGAACCCACAACAATCGGCGCAGGAGGAAGCGGCGAGGTGACCTCTTAAACCACGACGCTATACGTGCAATCAAAAGGAAAATAAATATTTTACTAGCTTGTGCCCGCGACTTCGTTCGCGTGGAATTTGAAAAGCGCTGCCTTGATGGGTTCGATTTCCCGACCGGGCAAAATTTTATAGTTTTTTTGAGAGAAAAAATTGCCTAAGTTACTCCTTATATAGACAGCTACCTGGAAGTAAAATATTATCAAATACGGTCCAGCCGTTTTGAAGGTTACCCGGAACAAAAAGACAAAAAAAAAATTAACTGGTTTTTATTCATAGGTATCGTGCAAATAACCGTGTGAGCATGAAAAAAACCTATTAGGTATTTAGACATTACAAACAGACACATTTTGTTTATTTGTATAGATATAGATCAACTGTTAAGTTAGAAGTGGTTCATTTATATAAAAGACTAGCTGAGACCCGCGGTGTTACCCGCGTTTGTTGTTATAACCGCGGGCAACGCCGCGGGGCAAAGCTAGTCTAAAAAAAGTAGCCGAAGTTACTCCTTATGTCATCAGCTATCTGCCAGTGAAAGTCCCGGCGAAATCGGTCCAGCCGTTCCAGAGTTTACCCGGAACAAACAGACAGACAAAAATTGTAAAAAATGTTATTTTGGCATATGTACCGTGTAAACATACATATATGCTTTTAGTAAAAAGCGGTTATTTTAATATTACAAACAGACACTCCAATTTTATTTATTTGTATAGATGTATAGATATAGAAGATTAAAAAACGTCCATAAATTCCAACACACTTTCACACACGACTGCACGGATGGCGTAGTGGTTTAAGCGGTCGCCACGCCGCTCACTACTACGCCGAGTGTTGTGGGTCCGATCCCCACATGGGACGACACTTTGTGTGATCCACAAATTGTTGTACTGAGTCTGGGTGTTCTTTGTGTCCGTTTCACGTATGTTTGTAAAGTCCCCCGCGACACAGGATATAGTTATTCCTAATGCGGGATTGGCTTTTTAACAGGAAAAAAAAATGTAGGAGGATAAAGTGCTATACTAACAGTAGCTGGCGTCGCTGGGCACTTCCATGCTGTGTCTCTGTGCATGCATGATGCACTGCATCTAGCTGCCACATGCAACCTCCAGTCGTGTTGGCGGTAGCTGCAATAATATCATAATATATTAGTTATATGGCACAGAGTTATATCATGCAACAGATGGATCACATTTAAGTAAATATCTACCATAATTACAATGGAATAAAGTTTTCTTTTGAACGATTTTGCTTCAACACTGCATCAAACTGCACTTATTTTTCATTACATAATTTTTTACAATATTTAATTAATTATACAGGACACCAATCTGAAGTCACAGGTATGTTGCTAGGGTTTGATGTATATAATAATAGCTTAACACACAAAAAAAAGAAAATTTTTATGTAGATGTTATGCAATAGTCCCTATATCTGGTTGATATGAGGATTTGATATGATGGAGAGCCATACTTAAGCACTAATGGGTCAGCTCCACCGGAGAGATATCACGGCCTCACAGCAAACCGATGTTAAGCAATTCTTTCGTTGCCTTTCACTGAGTGAGTGAGGTTACCGGAGCCCAAATCCCCCCTCCTGCTGACTCGAGGGGGAGGGACTCCAAGGGAGGTAACGCACTTGTGACTTTTGAGTTGTCCTTGGGCCGCAGTAGTTGCTTACCATCAGGTGACCTGTCTGTTCGTTTGCCCCCTTATACCATAAAAATAACAAATAAAATATGGATGCTTATCAAAAACACTACAAAAGCAGACAATTAGAGGCCTTACTTTCACTTTGTCATGGATCAAACTCAAAACTACATGCTCCCGTTATGATTACAACATTATTTATGATCCATTACAGTCGCTAATAACTGGCTGACTATATAAAATAAAGGGTGGGCTCCATTGGGAGTTCTTTAGCACCCTAAAAATCACTACACCACATCTGCTTAGGGTCCAGACAACTGATTACAGTATAACAAAGAGAATGAAAAACTTATGATCCATAAACAAAACATCTCTACTTGAACTAAATTAAATTTTATGTGTTTTTGGAGTAAGTAATTAACTTCTACATTATCTTTTATTCCTATACTTACTTTTTTTATAAATGAAAATGTCATGATATGAATGAATAGAATACTTTTTACAGTACTATGTAGTCGATTTTAATATAAGTTAATTAGTTAAATTACTATTAATGAAAATATGCTGATATGAAAATTCAAATTATCTTCTGTCCTACAATCGAATAGCAATTTTTCAGTAGTCTAATACTCATTTTCAGTTAAAAATATGAAAGAAGAACCAGTCACAGTCACGTAGATATACAAAATGTGTTCTAAGTACTCACCAGAGAATTCACAGCTCCCATCACCATTACTTTAGTTTGTGAAGTGTAACATTGCACAGATGCATTATGAATCACTTAAACATGAACTTAAACATAGGTTTTATTACTTTTTACTTCACTTTTAGTCCAAAAATAGCCGAAACGTTCAACTTAACACGCCCATACCGACATTTGTATGAAACTCTATAAATACACCAAAGTTCCCAATAAATTTATTCCGAATAGGTATAAAATGGTTGGGCGATGTAATTAAAAGCACATTTTGTATTTAATTGTTGACTTATCATTGATGTTTGCGGAAAAATTTAAAGGGTCATTGTCCCTCTGTGTTTACAACGTACTGTCAAATCGATCATAGGGAAGACGTGTTTTGTTATACGCAGAAGTCATTTTCTTTAATCTTTGACGATTACCTATTTTTCTGATACCTATCTTAGAACTTTGTAGTAAGTATTAAATAATTTAGTTCACATTTATTTCTTTTTTAAAACCATTAAAAACATAGGTTTAGTTGGAGTCAAGTATTTCGCTCGTATATTGGAACGAATTTCGTTTGAACGCAGGCAAAATGTACATCTGAGGTGACGATTGTTCATTTTTGTTTAGCTATGTCGTTATCACCATTATTGATGAGATATTGTACAACGAGTATGTTTGTTTACTACACCATTCAGTATTTATCATGATTAATGTAATTAATAAGAGTCGTTTCTGTGTTTATAAAGTAGGCCAACCACTGCACGCTCCAGCCGGTTGCTCAACATCTGATAATTCTTTTCGTGATCTTTAACCTGTTGAATGCCAGGTTATCGGTATATAATTAATATAAACATTGAAGCATACGCATATCCCTATAAGGGCCAAGTACGACTGCATCTGGAATACTGCTCTCATCTCTATGCAGGGGCATCACAGTACCAGCTTCTCCCTCTGGACCGAATCCAAAGAAGAGCGACTCGAATCGTCGATACCCAAAAGATTTGCGACCGGCTCGATCCCTTGGCATTACGTAGAGATGTAGATTTGCTCTGCATTCTCTATCGTATATTTCGTGGAGAGTGCTCTGAGGAATTGTTCGAACTAATACCAGCCGCAACCTTCCGCCATCGTTCCACAAAATTTTCATCCCCACCACTTGGATAATTGGCGCTTCACCACTGTGCGCTGTTCAAGCCACTTTTTTCCTCGCACTACCAATCTGTGTATCAAGTTATCGTCTGCGGTATTTCCGGACCGATACGACCTTCAAACCTTCAAGAAAAGAGCGTACTCCTTCCTAAAAGGCCGGCAACGCGCTTGTGACTCCTGAGTTGCAGGCGTTCTTGGGCGGCGATAGTCGCTTTCCATCAGGTGACCCGTCTGTTCGTTTGCCCCCTATTCCATGAAAAAGGCATATACTTAAAGACAGGTCTCGCGTCTGTGACTTACTAAATATCCGCGTTCGTTGGGTTACATCCAACTAAACAAGTACATTTAACTTATTGATATACTCGTATGTCTGTCCATTAAATATGAAACATGTATATATTAGCCGCTGTTAGCTAAGCATTTTTAATTCTGTGGCTAGGAGTGCTGAAAGAACGGTGACCTTATGACTGTAGGGTTGCAGGTATTTAGGTATAGGCAGCGGTAGTCACTTACCACCAAGTGCCCGGGACCAGGTGTTCAACACCCTTCAGCGCACCCCTTTAGGAAGATAGGTTTATTTATTATATATACATTTATAATAAAATAAATCTGATGTTTCAGTAAATATATTTAATTGTTCGTAATAAATGCAGATCAATCACTCCTTGGACCTCTTGGTGGGTGAGTCGTCCATTGCGCTGCTCCTCCTCTTCCGGCTGCCATCGTTCTCCTCCTTGGTCTCTGGGAGGTACTTCTTGACCCTCGCCGCTTCAGGGGAGTAGGCCCATAGCAGCATCTGAAGGTGCTCTTTTGTGGGCTCGTCTTTCTCATTGAAGAGTTTGGCTTCGGCGTACTGTCGGCAATTAATCATAATTAACTTTAAACTATATCATCATGAATTTTATAAAACTGTATTTTCATCCTTAGTGGTGGAACTTTACCATCAAATTTGAGTTCTAAGGTAAGGTTCTAACGTAATTGAAAATAAATACAACTGAATTGAAAACCTACTTTTTTGTTAGGTTAAAAAGTAAAATACGATGGACGTAAGAGTCAAATCAATTTTTGTGAAACTTTGAAATGATACTTTCTGTGAAACGCTATAGAGTAAGGGTTTATGACGTCATAGTCAAGGGTTTATGACGTCAGCGGGCTAGTATATAATAATAATATTGTACCACATTCACACAACACCATCTAGTCCCAAACTAAGCAGAGCTTGTACTATGGGTACTAGACAACTGATTTAAATACATATGTACTTTTTAGTGTAAATACATACATATTATACATAGAAACACCCAGACCAAATCAAACATTAAAAGTTCATGCACGCAAATGTTTGACTTAAGCGGGAATCGAACCAGCGACCTTCAGAATATCAGTCCGTTACAGGAACCACTACGCCATCCGGTCGTCTAATTTACCTATAATATTCAGTGTTACAATAAAATAATCCAACTTTTGTTTGCTTTCAAAAATATTTAACATTTAAATATTTTTGAAAATAATATTTAACTCTCTTAGATAATTAAAAAAGAAAAAAAAGGACTTCAATATTTTTCTAAAACGTAGCAAACGTGTACAAGTTTTTTTTTTTAATATTAAGTAATTCCGGTACCTGTTCCTTGAGGTCCTTAAGGGCGACGTTCCTGACGATGTCCCAGGTCTTCTCGCCCTCACCGGAGGCCACGGTCCTCAGGCGCTTGTACTCGCCCCGCACCGAAGTGTACGCGGCGATAAATGAATTCTGGAAATACATTGGTAAATTGACTAAGTTGTATAGTGATCCTGACTGAAGAGTCAGAAGGTCGTGGGTTCAATTCCCACCGTGAATAAATAATTGTATCATGAGCACGATCATTTGTTCTGTATTTGGGTGTCATTTATCATTAATATTTATGTATTTAGAAATGTATAAATGTGTTTATCAGTGGTCTGGTTACCATAGCACAGGCTCTGTGTAGTTTGGGATCAGACGGTCGTCTATGAGGTGTATAAAAAGAAAAGCTAAAAGAAGAAAGAAAGAAAAGAAAAGGAAGAAAGACCGGCCACGCTATTGTGACTCCTTAGTTGTAAGTTTTCATGGTGTTCATGCTCGTTTATTCCCTATTACATAAAAAAAAAATACTTCTATATTATTGTCTTACTTTCTGAACTGCTTTTAATATTGAACTCCTAATTACTTAAATTGACTGATTGAGGGCAAGACTCCTCACAATCAGGTAAGAATGACTAAAAATGGCAAAATGTGGACGTTAAATAGACATCTGCCAACCGCTTTGACAATGTAGGCGTGAGTGTATGTATCATCGTCATCACCAACAGTCTTTAACAGTCCACTGCTGGACATAGGCCTCTCCTTAGAAAGGAGGTTTTGGCCTACTATACCACGCTGACCAGACGAGTTGGTATAGGGTTTTGCAGTGCTGTTGTCCTGCATAGTTTGTTCCCTTAGTCTCTCTTTTGACAGCCAGGAGATGAATAGGGGTGGTGACACTCTGTATTCTTAATCCGTCACCGTGAGTGTGTGTATGTATGTAATTGCCGAAGTGAGCCGCCACGCACCTGTTGCTCAGTGACGTCATCGCCGGCCAACTTCTGTGCGGTCCGCACGAGGCCGAGGCTCAGGTACGGGTTGTTCTGCCTGCTCATGTGCTGCGTGTCGAAGTCGTCCAGGAACTGCTCGAAGATCGACATCGCTTCTTTGATGTTGGACAGTTTGGTCTCATCGCGAGTGCCTGCCAGAACCAGTTATGAAAGTTATTATGATGCTAATAACTCGAGAACACCACAAAGGCCGTTCTGGTCTCAAATTGAACAGAACTGCATATATTTTCTAAATACATACATATTATAGATAAACTGTGTACGGAACACCTATACATAAAGTATATACATTTTATTTCTAATATACAAGGTGTCTCAAAAGAAAGTTTATATTTAGTAGATCGATTTAAAAAAAAGTAAGCAGTGTATCGCAAAAATGTTTATTAATTATTAAAGTACACAATTTGGGAATTTATTTCTTAAAAATAATATCGTCCAAATGTAGACCCTCGCGTTCGCGGCACTCATTTAATCGAACAGTAAAATTACTTATGACGGCTCGGCAGATAGACTCAGTGATGGCTGCCATTTCGTGACGGATATTTTCTTTCAAATGCGCCAGGGAAGTCGGTTTATTCGCGTAAACTTTAGATTTAAGATAACCCCATAGGAAAAAGTCCATAGGGGTTAAATCAGGACTGCGTGGAGGCCAATTTATGTCACCTCTCCTGGAGATCAATTTTCCTGAGAAAATTTCACGAACTCGTGGCAGAGACGTATTGGACGTATGTGACGTTGCTCCGTCCTGCTGGAACCATGTTCTTTGGGTATAGCCAGGAAAGTTTTGCAGTTCAGGCGCCAAGAAGTCGTCTAACATCTCCACATAACGCTCTGAATTCACTGTAACTGCCGATAATTCCTCGCGCCGACATCGCAGCCTATACGGTCACTTTAGGCGAATGAAGGGGTTTCTGATCTTTGCGTTTCGGATTCATTGCACTCTAGTAGCGGCAATTCTGCTTATTTACGTGTCCATTATCATGAAAATGAGCTTCATCCAACAACAAGATGTTGGTAAACGTTGAAAAGCGCTCAATCGCCTGATTTACGAAGTCAAGCCTCTGACTGGCATCTTTGGGCTTTAATTCTTGCACCAATTGAATTTTGTAGGGGTGCAGCTTTAGGTCTTTGTGCAAAATGCGGTGTAATGATGATCTATGCACATTTAAAGCACTTGCGCGCTTCCGAATTGAAAGGTTCGGGTCGTCACGAACAGACTGATTAACACGCTCCACGTTTTCTACCGTTCTTGATGACCTTGGTCGCCCGGATTTTGGTTTTTCCAGCGTTGTACCGGTCTCTTCAAACTTTTTGACTCATTTTCGAATAAGAGGAATGCTTGGCGCATCATTTAAATGGCGAAAACCTCGAACACTACAGAACCTTCTACGCGCTACAGTCGCCGAATTACCGTTCTTGTAAAACTCTCGCACGCACAACGCACGGTCTGCTCCCGAGAAACGCTCCATAGCGACTGAATTCCCAAGAGCCAGGCTACCGATTGACATAACCCCCGCGCCCCTCGGACTCGTTGCGTTCACGCAGTAAGCTAAATAAATATAAACTTTCTTTTGAGACACCTTGTATCAAACTCTCGTGACGCGGTGGTTTTTAAAAACGCCTCCGAAACGGCTGGTCTGATTTTTATATAATTTTGTGTGCATATCGGGTAGGTCTGAAAAACGGCCAACATCTATTTTTCATATCCCTAAATGATAAAGGTACCCCTAAATATGCTTCTTTATTTTTTTGTCAAAATTTTATATTTTTATTTTAAGTATTACACCAGGAAATGGCTGAAAAGCTTTTAGAATTGTCGAAGCCAGATGCATTTAAACGCATTCTCTGACTAAATGGGCAACTGCAAAATAGTTAACTAGGTTTTTTCTTCTGATTGTCAACAGAAGAATTTTTCGTTTTGCAAATAGTGTCAATACATAAAAAGAAAAAAGTTGACAAAAATAATTTAAATATTTTATTTTCTTTTTTCTTTATTAAAAGACAAGTCCTCCAACACCAGGAATATTATCTCGTGTCACGGGGGCCTATAAAAACACACATGAAACGGAGCCAGACTCAGAACAACAATTTGTAAGAGGTTCCATGTGGGGATCAAACCCACAAGACTCCATGCAGTAGTAAGCAATGGACAATCGGTTCAGAAAATCTCGTTAAAATCGTGAATTCCCCCTGTTTTTTTTATATAAGGTACCAACATAAAAATAAGACTCACACGTGAGCACCCTCTTGGCCCTTCCAATGAGACCCTTGATAGCCAACTTCTGGTAGTCAGGGTCTCTCCCCTCCAGCTCCTTAAGGGTGGAGTGTGCAGTATCCTTGTCTTTGAATCCGAGCCCAGGGACGGTGTCCGCTGGGAGCGCCTTCTGTGGCTGTTTCTCTTCTTCGTCCATTTCCACGTCTGAAGAAGATTCCTGGAATAGATTAAAGATGCTAGAGAAAGCTTGGTTTGTTTAGATTTTCTTTCATGGCTAAACCGCTAAACCGATTTTAATGAAACTTTGCATGGAGATACTTTAATTCTTGAGGAATGACATAGATTACTTTTACCCACTACCCTAGCGTGGGAGCCACTAGCAAAAACTAGTCGGTTCATAACTGACACAGTTTTGGGACAACAAACAATCAGTATTGAGATTCCCCTCCTTTTTATGACGTCACTTAAAAACAATACGAGCATGTATTGTTCTACGTACCTGGTCACTACTATTCTCTTTTTTCTTTTCTTCTTTCTTCTCCTGTTTCTTCTCAGTCTTCTTACTGTTACCGTTGTCCTTGCTCTCTTTATTGGCGCTGAGCTTTTCGAGCCAGTTCTCGAAAACCTCCATAGCTTCTTTAATATTTTTTATTTTATCTTCTGCTTTCGTCACTGTAAGTTGTAAATATTTAGTGTTACTTCTTAGATTACACCCGTTTCGATGCGTCTCTGGTATCAGAGGTGCATCGATAGCCTATGAAATCTTGGAAATTTGTAACCAGAGTCTTAAAAACGGAAGTAGGCTTAAATTGCAAGGGGTACCAGGGCACATTGGGTTAAAGGGTAACGAGGAGGCTGACCGTATGTCTAAATTGGCAGTACAGGAGGGAACTGAATTAACGTATTTACCGGATTATTGGCAACACTATAAAATACCACAAATGGAAGGACAAGTTTGATGAGGTGTCAAAAACTAAAGGAATATGGTGTAAGGGAATACAGGGTGGGCCCCCGCGTGTACCGTGGTTTGAAGATTACAACTTAGGTACAAGTTATATAAAACTGGCACTAAGACTCCGTTCGGGGCACTTTCCATTGGCAAAGTTCACATTTGTAATGGGAAAAGTAAAATCACCAAACTGTAATGTATGCAATCAGCTAGAGGACTTGCAGCATTGGCTGATAGAATGTGCCAGGAACAAACCCGAAAGAGAATCATTACTGAAGGAATTCAATTTGAATAAATTTGACTTTGGACTAACACACAGCAAACCCAAAAACTGAAGTAGCCCAAAAATTGGGCAGTTTGGTATTGGTGCCTTTTAATGATTCTCCTTCATAAGTTGATCTAATTGTAGAGAATAAGTTAGTATAAGGTATAATGGAGCTAGCGTGCCCATGTGGGTAAAAGTTCCTTCAAAAACACGAGAAAAAAAGCGTTTCCCAGACAATGGGCCACTTGAAACAGAACACCGTGTAGTTTTAGTCTGTTCGATTTCGACATTCTACTTTATCGTTACCCCCAGTGAGGTAGCTACTAACAAAACGTGAGATGCTGCTACCATTCTTTACCTCCCTAATGCAAGAAGAGACACATAAGTACGAGCATTAGTAATTCGGCTTTTAAACGGTACGTCACCTAAAGGTGCCAACAATGCGGACGCAGATATCGCTCCCTGACTGTTCAGTAATTGTAAACCCAGCCATACAAGAACTGAATATCATTTCGAGACAAACAAACAAAACGATCACCCGACTCAAGAGTCACTAGTGGGTGGCCGACCTTAGAGGTAGGTGTATTTTGTTGCAGGTTTAGAAGTCCTGTCAGTGGGAAAATATTGCAAACGACTAGGTTCTTATTTCAATGGTTTCTTGCGAAAGGTAAAAAGTTTATTAAAAGCGGACTGTTGGAATTGTCACTTCACCTAATTTTCCAGTAATGGGGATGGGAAAGGCCTTTGTATACTTACTAGATAGTACCCTCTTGGCTCTGCCCAACAGCCCCCTGACTGTGAGTCTCCTGTAGTTCATGTCGTGCTGCTCCAACAGGCGCAGGGTCTCCTCAGCCTTCGCCTTGTCCTTGAACCCGAAGCCGGAGTCTTCCTTGTCGTCCTTTCCCATGGCTCTGGAATATGATAAATACGTTATAATTCAATTTTTATTTTACCTTAAAAAAAATATGTTAGAAAATACGAGTAACTGGTGGCAAACAAGCAGACGGGTCACCTAATGGTAAGTGACTACCGCCGCCCATGGACACCTGCAGCTCAAAACGAAAAGCCAGGAAAGAATATTGCTTAATTGACACCAGTTTTCTGTTAGGCCATGGTATCACTCCGGTCGAGCCGGCATATTTCTGACAAATCATTGCTTTCAGTCCAAACCCCATCCCCCCTGGTTCTGGGGGAGGGGGACTCAAAAAGGGGTAACGCACTTGTGACTCATGAGTTGCATGTGTCCATTGGCATCGGTAGTCACTTACCGTGACACCACACCATAAAAGAAAAAAAACTATCGGCTGATACTACTAAATATCGCTATTAAAAGTTCTTTATCAGTAACTATTAAAATGTTTGAAGTGTATTAAGTGCATAAATATAAAATATAGTATTTATTGGGTTTGTGTTTCTTATCGTCATCTTCGTGTCATGCAATAAATTAAATTTAAGTATGACTTCATTGCTGAACATTTATCTGGGCGTGTGTGCGTCACAATATTGAAAAAAATGTGGTGTTGGAGGTCAGTGGTTCACTCCCACTGAACTATGGTATTGATGAAGCACATATTTACATAAATAGAAAGAACCTTTGAACATTTGTAACGACCTGTAAAATAATTTCTTTAGTGTCGTAAGTGCACACTAAGGGAGTAAACTACACAGGGCAGCAGCACTGCAAAGAGAAGGCAACCTTGAAACAAACCCTATACCAAGCCAACCCGTCTGGCCAGCGTGGTATAGTAGGCCAAAACCTTCTTTCTAAGGTGAGAGCTATGTCCAGCAGTGGACCATTACAGGCTGTTGATGAGGATGATGATGAAGCATGAGACGGAGGGCTTGTGGATATTTTATATACTAAGATGTCAAAGTAGTGGGATAATGGGCTGTTAATTAAGCCATTCGGAAGTGTTTTTAAAATTCCTTGACACCTCGATGGAGAATAGGAGGTGGATTTTTCCTGGACTTTCTAAAGTAAAGTAGATTGAGTCTTTAGTAAAGATTGATTGAGCTGTATTGGACAGCGATCCAGCTATGATCTACTCGTAATAAAGATTATAAGTATTCTATCGGTTAATCTAACTTTCATGGTACAAGCTCTGCTTAGTTTGTAACTAGATGGCGTTGTGTGTCAGATGTCTGAAATAGTTGTTTATTTATTTAATATGGAAATCAATGGGCAAAAACTGGACACCAGGTTCAGGGTAACAGTACTCATCGTTTTGGAGCACCTCTTTTGTACCTAGATCCAATACTAGAAAAACATTTGTATTATAGATTCTGAAATATGGACTCGTAACTAATTGGTAACGAGTAGGTTAGCACATTGCAAAATCAATCAACCCTTGCCCGTCAGACCCAAGTTAGTCTGTAGATGGGTGCCTCAGAGTTAAGGCGTCATGGTCTCGGTTGCCATACGGACATCTGTGGCGGGTATTTGGAACCCTAAAAAGTCCGACAGCATTCTATCTACAGAACTTTGATATGGCAGCATCTAACAACAGCCATGGAAAAAATCGAAGTTCAGCTGTATCGTAATAGACCCCAACCTCGTTTGACAAATGGCTCGGAGGATGATTATTCATTTTCGAACGATCCCTATATTTTATTTGCCCCCGTAATATTATGTCTGTTCGGTGGTACATCTCTGTCACATGTCGCACCGTATTAGATGCAATATTATTTGTACGCGACAACTACTCCAAAACTACCGCGAGTTCTATCATTGACCGAGTGGATCGGTAAACACAGCGAGCTTCCTCGTGACCTCTAAGCGCCGCTCCTACACATTGACCCTGGCCTCCTTGTCCACCTGAATACCTTTGTATGGCATCACGATAATTATTTGATCGTAATTTTTGATAATTTTCGTCAAACCATAAAAGATTGTTATTCAAACTAAGGCGATTAGACCGCGCTATTGAGATAATATGTAGGATTGAAAGATATAAACGAGGGGTAGAGGAAGGAAGGTGAGGCCATCTGTCACCCTAGCCGAAGGAGGCCGGGGTTCGCCCCGAGGTATGTCGGGGCACCAGGGACTTCCTTTCTAGGGTATACCTGGTTCCCCCGGCTATTAGTACCCGAGACGGCGTGCGGTTTTAGTCAGTTCGAGTCCGACATGCCACCAATAGGTGGTATCCGAGGGGATTTCCGCACGGAAAAAAAAAGGGGTAGAGGAAGGAGTCTTAGAATAGAAAGTGACGGCTAACTAAACCTATACTAATGTAGTAAAGCTAGAGTTTTTGGTTGTTTGTTTAAACCCGATCATCTCTGGAACTATCAGTCAGATTTTAATTTTTATTATGTATTGAAAATAGTGTTTATGGAGGAATGATACAGGCTATGAAATGCAACTATCATTCAACGGCCCTTAGGAACAAAGCAGTAACCATAAAAGCGGCTAAAACTGCAGTGAACGCCTGGTTGTTTATATTGTCCATTAATCGCTTACTTACCATAAAAATTCGCTGCCATCTCATCAAATTAAATGTTTTACTTTATGCCCGACTATTCTCATATACCAGTGGGACCCTTTTATTTAAAAGATTAATGCAAAAAGATATCGTTTTATCCCATGATAAACCTTTTTCTCCAATAAATTCCTTGCTTGATTCTTTGCATGCTTCTTCAAAGTTTCTTTGATAATTTCTTCATCAAAAAAGGTTTATTTTTTTTCGCTAAAAGCAAAAAAATCTCGGAAGATGTTTTCGTCATGGATTCAAGCTCGTGTTTTTAACGAAAATGGAATAATTTTCTTTTTTTCTTGAAAAAATCTTCTCTGATAGCACTGCCAACGTGGTAGGTACTCTTTTTCAAAATTATTATGATTCTGCTATGGCAGCTAAATTTTTTTTGCAACAGCTACCGTAGTGAAGCAAAGTAAACATATTGTTTTATGCGCCTTGCATTTAGTAAAACATTATTTATTTTCCCATTCATTATGAAAAATACGGTAGGACTGAACAGGACAGCCATACTGAATCAAACTGCATTGGTCAATTTTTTAAAGGGAAAATAATATTTTAGATAGGCATAAGCGCTCTTAAAATGAAAACTTAATTTCTATCTAATCAATCCAATGAGTAACATACCTTTGAAATTCAATATAAACACTTCTTCTAACATAAACTGACTAGGTATATATGTTTGGTCCAGTTCAAGATCACAAGTTAAAAAAAATGAGGAAGATAATTAAAAATTAGATACGTAACAGGTGCACGAACTCAAGAGTGGGCGGGCAGGGCAGTCGATCCAGGTTCAATTAAAATTCGCCTGCGGTGGCTCGCGCGGGCTATTTAAAATTCGTCTGCGGGCCATAGTGTGGTCCGCGGCCCTGGGGTTGAGCAGCCTTGGCTTAGTGTGTCCCTGACAACCTACTTATATAAATTGACTAACTAAGGCTTGAAGCATAGCACACAAACACATTTTCGAAGCTCCAGCAGTGTAACAACTAGAACAGCAGACCTGTGATCGAATGCTTGAGAGATTGATAGCAACAGGGTGCATTAAGGAATTATTACGTTGACTCCACTCCTCACAGAAGTATTTAGTTTAGCTGGAGGGATTAACCAGAATATTACTAGTGTGTGACACCTACGTCACTGGTATACTTTAATATAAAAGTCTTAGTTATGCTTAGATTGAAAAAAATTGAAGTGCCTTCACCAAGATCTAAAATAATTAATGTAACATGTTTGCTCTGATCTAAATAGTTAAATAACATAATCCTGGATCCAGCGCTGTGCGACCCACTTATATGACTAGTTAAGATGGCCGGGTCGACGACAGCGCCAGATATTGAGGGCAGCGGCCTTTAAATGCGTCGCCAAGGTCATTAATCATGCATTTATATATATAATCTACAAATCTTCACGCTACTGGCAACACACACTAAACGCCTAAACACGATTTTTTGTTAGTCCGTTACATCATCGTGAATAAATTTACATAAAAGTTATATATTGACCTTAAGCGGTGGTACGTCATCGACAAAAACCGCGCGAACATGGTAATGTCAAAAAAATTCAAAATGGCTGATTTGTTAAAAATTTAAGATCTCAAATTTAGCGTGGTTTCTTAAAATGACAGTTAAAAGTTTTCTTTGTCTAAGTTGTCTATAAATACATACTCGTAGTTAGGAAGACGTTGATAGTTAGGAAGACACAGCGTGGTTGTATCACGCAAAAAGTAACTTGGAAAGTCATCCTTTTTGAATTATCCAAGTGATATTTGAAAGTTAGACGTATTATCGCCTTGAACGATGGTAGAAAGCTGCAAGTCCTGCAGTAAGTCCGAACACTTCTTCGGATCATAGGTACTCTTACTGCGTCCAACTACGGACTGTCCGTATGGTCTTTAACGTGTCCTTTAGACTTTATGATTAATAAAAAAATTTGATTGGACTGTTGGACTAATGGTTAGTAACCCTGAATTAAGTATAATCTGCATGTATGTAGTAAGAAATATATTGTGTGTTTATCAGCAGTCTGGTTACCGCAGCAAAGGCTCTGTCTAGTTAAGGATCTGGCGACGGATCTGTGTAAGGTGTATTAAGCTATTATTTTAACTCCTTAAGTCCGAATTGTGTCAAACTGCTAAGCTACATTGTATTCTAAATCCTCAGTAGGTGCCTACTTAGCAATATAAATTTATGTAAGTAATTATACATTCTGTGTAAATGTTACAATTCGGCGACATTCTACAAATAATGGCTGTTCTCTGATAAAATGTGTTTGTAAAAAGGTTTAACAATACATTTGTACAAATATTGTCTGTCTGTGGGCACTGCGTGTCGTCAGTCATTCACCTGTGCTTGTTTATGAAACAAACGAATCAAAACTTTTCTCTTTTCTCAACATTCGACTTATTTTGTTAAGTAAAGACAACTCCAGCAATAGGAAT